TTTTTTTTTTTTTTTTTTTAAAGAAATAAAAAGAGTTGCAAATTGTAAGAGAATTACGGGTGCCATGGTTTTAGAGTATATTTGTGAAAGGTAGTTAAGAAATAAATCTATATATATATAATTTGGCTCATGAGCATTTAATAAAACTTATTAAATTATACCTATGTTGCAATATAACTTTTCCCTTCAAAAACCGTTACTTTTTATTTATTTAGTCTCTCATTTTATTATTAGATAATCAACACATTAATCACTTCAAAATTACCAAAAATCATTTTAAACTTTTAATTTATTTACAACTGACCATATAATGTGTTGACTATTTAACGTGATTAAATGTTATTGTTGTAATTACATTTAAATTAACTTCTTTTGAAAAATAAAAATCGTATTTGAAATTCATAAATAAATAATAAATGATTCACAAAAAAAAAATACATACCAAAACATACATTACATCCAATATAATAAACGCAATTTAAAAAAATAAATATTCCAGCTCCTTTAATTATAAATTTTGCCTGCAAAAAGTGCAAGAAAAATTATTAATTATTATGTGCATACAAATAACTGGCAATACTTTATTTATATCTTTGCATTTGCATAGGTCGAATACTAGTTGTTTTAAATTCTCATACTGAGCATTTTTAAATCGCGACTAATCAAATTAACCTGCAAAACAACGTCTGGACCTCTTAAATCGAATCGTCAATAATATTTTTTAACTAAGAGATTGTGTTAAAAAGTAAACTGGATACTTTAATTATTTATAAAGGATTAATATATAATTTTGCTTCTCAATACATGATTTTTTAATTAAAAAAAAAAAGAAATTACTCTTACGAAATCAAGAAATTTATAATAAATCGTATATCATCCAATATAATACTGTTGAATTTAGGTGCAAAATTGCTGTGGGAACCCATTTTTTCCTGAGCTGTGATGGAGCGCACGTGGGGAACCCCTCTGTGCGTGTGCGTGCGTGCGTGTGTAATTGTACACCTTTGCATTTGTTTTATGTTGCGCGTGGACCAATAAACGAAAGAGTATATAACCTAGTTAATATGATACTTATATTAATAAAACTTAGAGGAATAAATCATGAATTATTGAAAATGGTAACTAATTTTTATATAAAAGTTTTATACTTGGCAAGAAATTGATCGATATCATTCGAGTCGCTTTGGGCCGAGTAGCTTAGATGGAGGTATTGCGGTCGAGTCAATATATGATGTTACGAGCAAGATTACGATTGAGTTTAGCTCGATTAGGATTTTTTAAGATGATCCTACCATAAGATGATTCAATAAGGTACAATTTATTGTAATTTAAAATAAAATCAGATTTTATTTCTGTTATTATATATATTAACCGTTGTATCAACATACATTCTTTCTAATGTGTGAGTGAATGTGAATGTAACAAGTAAAATTCTGACGTGGACAATCGGGTCCAACCTATATTGTAATTTAATATCTAATCATTTTTTTTTATTTTATTTTCCTCTTTAAAATAGGTTATAGCTAATTAAGGACAATATTTATAATTAACCTTTTAAGTTATGTAATTTTACTTTCACAGTGGTCTCGAGTTCGAGCCCTGGGAATGCAACAGTGTTAAAACTCTTGAGGGAGAGCTTTGCCGCCCTTGTGGTCCTACCGGGCTCGATTTCGAATTAGTCGGTTTCCCTGTGGATCCAGAAACCGGAAGGTCCCTGTACCAAAAAAAAAAAAAAAAAAAATGTGCAGTGATGAAAAACAGGAGCAAAAAGTTTCAAGTTAAAAAAGCTGGAACATTTTTTTCGTACAAAAATGGCATCATTAAACTATGATTAGTGGAAATCTTTACAAGTATATTTTTAAAAAATATATATATTTAAATCTCATATTCACTGCACTGTCTGAATCTTTACAGAGCGCATGGCAAAGCATGATCAGCAGCCAAAAGGATACCAGAACTTTATAATGTATCAGTCCCTCTCTCATACTCACGGTCGGCACAAATTAATATGAGATGAGACTTTATTATTTCAAAATTATGTTTTAATTCATCAATCGGTTTATTGGATGAATAACACGTTTTCAACAAAATAAAATATAAATTGGAATATTATTTTAAAACATTAAATTATTTGTTTACCAACTCACGTTGTAAGAGAAAAAATTACGATAATTTGACACGTGGCTGATAATCATATTAAGATCCGTTCACAATGGTTTGGTGCATGGTATTGTACACTACAAAAAAATTACAATATTTCAAGAAAAATCTAACGATAATATATAAATTCAATGGAAATTCCAACAGATATTTTAATTGTTTAACTTATATTGGATTGATTCCAACATAAATTTTTTCCAACGAAAACGAAATGTCCAATTGGAATGAGTTTTCCATTAAAATTTTAAATGGAAACGACCATGTTTTCCTACGGTTTATTATCGCAGGAATTTTTGCTCGAGTTTGCGATTTTTCTGAAATTATTATTTCCACTCATATTCAACCACTGAAAAATATACCTTCAGAATCGTAATAATCTAACGAAAATTTCAACGATAAATCCAGTTGTAATCCACTGAAAAATTCCACTATAAATAATAGTATCAGAACTGATATCTATTGAAATTGCAGCTAGAATTTCATTAGAATATATTTCTTTTAAAATTTCATCATTTTCTTGCAACGATATCATATAAATCAATTAAGTTATTTCATTATTCAAATTGCTGCCCCTTTCTTGCTACAATGTCAATAAAAACCATCCTTTTCATCCTTTCTATATAAGTATGTCCTCCAACCAACATCTCATAATATATAACTATTCCTATCTTTTGCTCCTCAATAAACAAATTTATTTCAAGTTACGTTACCTTACATATACATCATATATACTCCAAGATAATTTAATTAATTTCTATTCAAAGAACTATCTTATATACAGAAATTCTATGGTGTCGTTCATAACTTTATGTTGTCCAAAGAGTATTTATTGCAGGACACGTGTCAATACACCATTTGTGGATAACTGTAGATGGCTTCATAAACCGAGTCATCCGACAGCTCCATAGCAAAACTGATCTTATATATACTTCTTATGTCTATCTCCAAAAACTCCTTTCTCATTTATTATTTTTCCTTGCTTTCATCATCTTTGCAATTACTGTTCTTTGGCCTTTTCTCATCTCTGCAAGCTATATTGTATATTGAGAAGTTACATGAATTTCTGTTTTGTTGAGTCTCGATTTTAGAGACTGGACAAAATTTTGCAGCTGAAACTGACGTTAGCTAAAGGTTTTTGATCACTTTGAGTTGAAAAAATGTGGTTGTGAGCTGCTACTCGATTCTTCTCGAGGCGAATTTTTACGATACTTATAATAACCGGAAAAAAAGATCCTTTCTTCTCGACACAAGCTTCGAATTTCACTTCCTGATCGATCGGTTTTCGGCATAATCTGTTAACAAGAAAAAGGTATGTTTCCATTTTTTTTTTCTTTTTTTTTTTTGGTTGTTGTTGTTGTACATAAATAATATATGTATGTTACAATATTAGGAAAAAAAATGGAGGGTCTTGATTGGAGCAAAATTCAGCAGCATGAGATTGAAGAGAGCTTGATGATGCCCATGATGATCCCATCAAACAACATTGTCTATGACAATATAAGCAAAATTGAAATGGTCCCAATTAGAGATCATTTCTTGATTAATAATCATCCATCACAATATTTCCACAATATTGATTTTCCTCAATTGAGTAGTACAAGATCATATGCAGATTGTACCAATTCTTATTGGGCATTGTCATCATCATCACCCATCAATGAAGCCACATTATTAAATCATTCATTGTTCCAACTAAGCACCCCACAAGATGGCCAAATTCTTGATTTTGGGCTCAAAAGCCCAACTACTAGTCATCCCATCGGCCCGACTCTCGATCTCGGGACGAGCCGATCCATCCCGACAAAAACGAGCATCTCTCTCGAGGAATCATCCATCGATTGCTTTCTATCGGGATCCAATCAGACGGCCGACACGACTGCAGCCTCGACCGAGGACAACGACATCTCCTTAATTTTCGCAAACCACATTAAACCCTCACCGAACAACAAAGATTTCGCGGCGGGCCCGACCGGAAACCCCACCGCCGCCGAAGCCCAAAGTAAGAGAAAGATACCTGAAAGTCAATCGAATCTTGACTTTCTTCAGCCAGTCAAATCAGCTAATAACAAAGGCCAACAACAACAACCCAACCGGCCCAAAACCAAACGGGCCCGGCTCGAAAGCGACCCGGCGCCGTCGTCCAACATCAACTTCCGACAGGCCGATGAGCCCGACCCGGAAGCAATGGCCCAGATGAAGGAGGTCATTTATCGGGCCGCGGCCTTCCGGCCCGTGAGCTTCGGGCCCGAGACGGCGGATAGGCCCAGGAGGAGGAATGTGCGGATATCGAGTGACCCGCAAACGGTGGCGGCCCGGCAGAGGAGAGAGAGGATAAGCGACAGGATTAGGGTTTTGCAGCGGCTGGTGCCCGGAGGCAGCAAAATGGACACGGCCTCGATGCTCGACGAGGCCGCCAGCTATCTCCGGTTCTTGAGGTCGCAAGTCGAGGCGCTCGAGGCTTTCGGTCGGAAGTTCGACCGGCCGGCCGATTTTCCGGTCGACAGCCCGAATCTTGCGTTTTTTAACTACTGGCCGCCGCCGCAGTTTTCGGTGCAGGGACCGATTTAATTTATTTCTTTGTTGGTTTTTGATTATTTTTTTTTTATTTCGTTATTTGTGAATCTTTTTT